GCAGTTTCGGGCAGCTTTAATTCAACGTTTCGAACCGATCAATTCCAGCTACATGGCGCGGCAGCAGATTCATCGGCATAAACAGTACGGCAGTGTAACACGGTACACGCAGCAGATGGAAAGCCTCTTCAACCGTATTACTGATCTGACCGAAGGGGAAAAAATCCAAGCGTATACTGAGGGGCTAAAAATGGAAGTCAACAGACAGGTGATCGCTGCGAACTACAACAACTACCGCGACATGGTGTGTGCAGCAGAGACATTCGATGCGCTTTGCGGTCAACCCGAGACACGACGCCACGTGGCGAACAGATCATTCGACACGAAGCGATCGGCACCACCCACCACCGCCATACGACCCGATGGATATCGACAAGATCGACGCGAAGCAATGGCCGACAAAATGCGACTTTTGCGGCGCAGCGGGACATCGATTCTTGGCGTGTTGGAAAATGAAGAAGGCACGAGCAGAGCTGCAGGGCAACAACAGTGCGGCACCCACGAAGTCAACAAACGTGGCGACTTCGGAGAGGGCGAAAAAATGAGAACATGGTGGCGCGAATTTAAAACGTCACGACCGGCCGGCAACAGGGGAAATCGCCGAGACAAATGGAGGCTCCGCGAAACAAGACTCTGCACCGACCGGGAAACTCCAGCCGAACACCCACGAAAGTAAGAATTCGTTAAAGTTATCCTACAAAGATACTTTAACTAAGAATATTACTTCTCGTGATTTTCAAGCCTTCAGGGGAGATTTAGAGGCTAAGAAAAAGCCCTCAGATATTATTCAGGTACCTGACAAGTTGGGCAAACCACTCCGGAGCGTTGAAACGGGTCGTGCGTTCCAAGGAGTTAATATTCTCTCCCCGCAGCACAGTGTTAAGGCTCCCGACTGCCCACAGGAGAAGCCTACACAGCTGCAACGGCTTAAGGGAAGGTTCCAGGCCAAGACGAAGCTGAATCGGCCGCGGATAAATCCTAATAACCCTGCTCAATTGAAGACTGATATTCAGTCAGCAGCTTCGAGCGCAGGACCTAGGGATGATCTATTCGACGTACCCTATGATCCTGTAAGCGAGACCATCTACGGTTACTCGGAGCAGCAGCAACCACTACTCCTCGAGGTGATCTGCAACGGGCGACGCCTCCAGGCACTGGTGGACAGCGGTGCGTCCCACTCGGTGTGTGACCGCGGGACGTTGGAGAAAATTGGAGAGAAGTCGGAAGAGACCCGGTTTTCAGCAACGATGGTGGACGGTACGAAGCTTCCCATCCACGGCGAAGCATCACTGCAGCTGCATATAGGTGCGTTACGATGGAAGCCGACGTTGCCGATCACAAACATCAAGGGATTAGACTTCATCTTGGGGCGAGATTTCCAGAAGCGGTTCAACCCCAAGATCGATTGGGTCCATCGAAAGGCGTGCATCTACAACAACGGGAAACGTGTGGAGCTGCGAAGCTGGACGGATACAGGGGACATTCCTGAAATGACACTGGCACGGTTCGAACAGACGGTGAACGAGAGTAACACGGGTTACCTAGCACTGGTCATGGCAGCAGCAGAAGAGGAGAAGCCGGGTTCCGAGCTACCCGCAGCAGTGAAGGAGGTCTTGGAGCAGTACAAAGATATAATGCCCGACGACCTACCTGCAGGCGTACCTCCTGCACGCACCCACGAGCACGAGATCGTGGAGGAACCAGGTGCGAAACCCGTCTCACGTGCACCTTACAGACTGAGTCCGACCGAGCTGACAGACATGAAAAAACAGATCGAGTACTTACTGGACAGACAACTGATCCGACCATCCACCTCTCCCTACGGCGCACCAGTTCTCTTCACCCCAAAACCAGACGGCAGTCTACGGATGTGCATCGACTACCGCGCACTGAACAAACAGACAGTAAAAAACAAATATCCCATACCGCGCATCGACGACTTACTGGACCAACTGCGTGGTGCAACAGTCTTTTCGAAGCTGGACCTACGGTCAGGTTACTGGCAGATCAAGATGGCGGACAACTCGATCCACAAGACGGCGTTCCGTATGAGATACGGCTCCTACGAATACTTGGTGATGCCGTTCGGACTCTGCAACGCACCAGATACGTTCCAGGCGGAGATGAACCACATCCTACGACCCCTGCTGGACGAGTGCGTAGTAGTGTACCTGGACGATATCCTCATCTACTCCAAGAACATGAAGGAGCACGTGGAGCATCTGCGGAAGGTGTTCGAAATCCTGCGGAAAAATAAGTTCTACGTGAAGCTGTCGAAGAGCGACTTCGCACTGAAGAAGGTGCAGTTTCTCGGGCACATGGTGAGTGCCGAGGGCGTACACGTGGACCCGCGGAAAATCGAAGCCGTTAAGAAGTGGAAAGTTCCGGAGAACGTGAAGGAGTTGCAGCAGTTCCTCGGCTTCGCCAACTACTACAACAGGTTTGTGCCGCAGTACGCTAAGATAGCAACACCACTAACAGACCTACTGAAAAAGGACACGCCCTTCAAATGGAGTGCTCCTCATCAAAAAGCCATGGAACAGTTTAAACAGCACTGACCACAGCGCCAGTACTCATCCTACCAGACCCCGAGAAGGACTACGTAGTTGAAGCAGACGCTAGTGACCAGGCAGTCGGAGCAGTACTAATGCAGGATCACGGGAACGGTTTACAGCCTATCGCCTACCTCAGTAAGAAGCTACACGGAGCAGAACTGAACTACCCCATTCACGACAAGGAAGCCTTAGCTATAGTCGTAGCCTTCAAGGCATGGAGGTGTTACCTAGAGGGAGCCAAGACCACAGTATACACTGACCACTGCAGTCTCAAATACCTGAAGTCGCAGCCGACGCTCTCACGACGACAGGTGCGGTGGGTGGATTTCTTGGAGACTCACTTCCACTACGACATCGTCTACAAACCCGGGCTACACAACAAAGCTGACGCGTTGAGCCGCCCTGGTCATGTAGCAGGCATCCAGCTCGACGGGATGAACCCTCTCCTCAAGGGTCTATTCCAACATGGGTACTCCGTGGACGGCGAGATAGCAACGGCAGAGAAACAGAAGCTGTTACAGTGGGAGAAAGACTTAGCAGTAAGGAAGGGTTCAGGAAAGATTTGGGTACCGAACTACGCCCCGCTACGGCAGATCCTATTGGAGGAGTTTCATGACGTACCATACGCAGGACATTTCGGGAGCAACAAGACGTTAGCGGGTATAGCAAAGTATTACTACTGGCCTCGGATGGCAGCAGACGTGCAGCAGTTCGTCACCTCCTGCGACACGTGCCAGCGGATGAAGAGTAGCAAGCAGAAGAAAGCAGGGTTACTTCAGCCTCTACCCGTACCAGAGCAGCCATGGCAGGTCGTTAGCCTCGACTTCATCACAGGACTTCCTTCGACCTCACGAGGGCATGATTCCATCCTCGTAGTGATCGATAAGTTCTCCAAAATGGGTCACTTCATACCGACCAACGCCACAGCTACTGCTGAAGCAACTGCTCGACTCTTCTTCGACCGCATCATCACCATCCACGGCATCCCCGCTACACTCATCTCAGACAGAGATCCCAAGTTCACTAGTAAGTTCTGGAAGGAGCTCATGGGACTGTTGGGGACTGAGCTTGTGATGTCTTCAGCATACCATCCCCAGACTGACGGACAGACAGAGCGACTCCATCCGATGGTTGAACAGTTACTGCGCACAGCTTGCAAAGACGACATCAGCCACTGGGATACACAGTTACTGACTCTAGAGTTCGCTTACAACAACGCCTCGCATGCGGCCACAGGAAAAACTCCTTTCTTCCTGTGTTACGGACGGGAACCACTCACACCACAGCAGCCAACCACACCGGCACACGTCCAAGCTGCACACGACTTCGTCACCACCATGGGAGAGGACTCAACGGCGTCTCACCACGATGCAGAACTCCCAGAAGCAGTATGCTGATCGCCAACGACGAGATCACTCAGTAGCAGTCGGAGATCAGGTGCTTCTCGACACGCGCAACTTGAACCTGTCTCACCTACCATCCAAACTCCGGCCTCGCTTCTGTGGTCCATTTCTCGTGGAGGCACAGGTGACACCAGTTACATTCCGCTTGCGCTTACCAGATACGTGGAAGCTTCACAATGCTTTCCATGTTCAGCTACTGAAACCCTACAAGGACCCCAACCAACAGTTCCAGGGACGGCAGCTACCGCCACCACCACCTGTTCTTGTGCAGGATGACCCTGAGTACGAGATCGAGCGCGTTCTCACTCATCGGCGCCGCGGCGGCAAGACCCTCGAGTTCCTGATACGCTGGAAGGGATATGACCCCACTGAGGACAGTTGGGTTGCAGAAGCTGATATGGGCAATGCACGCCGTGCTCTCAAGGACTATCTTGTCAAGCAGGGTGTATCTCACGCCACCCAGCTTTGAGGGGGGGACGTGTGAGAGTACGACGGCTTATGCTTGTTATTCATGCTTGCTTTTATTTCCTTACGCTATTCCTAGCTTAGGTTTATTTTCTGCATGCATGAATTGCTTGATTCCTTAGGTTCGTTGCCTTCCTATAGTTAGTACAGTTATAGGCACCGAACCAGGTTACGTGTACCGAACTCAAGCTATTCGGTTGCCACCGAATTGCTTTCTACCGAGTTCGGGAAGGTTCTGTTCGGGACGCTTCGTGACCCTCGGAGCATTCGCGTGACGCTACCGAACATTCGCGTAACACCTGGGTTACCTGCCTTGTGTCGAGCCTATATATAGCCTCGTGTTGTACCCAGGTGATCATTCAATTCAAACTCTCTTTTCTGAGCTCGATCCTAGATCCTCACAGGGACCTCGCTCGGCCGGCCGCGACGTTGGTCCTTGTGAGTACTTGATCCTTACGGGTCTACGTCAGGACTCGTACTGTGGCCGCCCTGACCACTCTGTGCACGCTGCTTTAGTCGTCTCGACGACCTCTACTTCTTGCTCGTGGTATTGCTGTTTTTGATATGACTATGGATGATGCTAGGTCTTATGCCATGTATGCTGATGTTGACTATAGTGCTCCTGGATCTGTGTACTTGCCTTTACCTAGCTTAGAAACTTTGCCTGTTGCTAGAGTAGGTGCTGGTGTAGGATCTTGCTTAGCTACCAGGACAGGTACAACCTCAGCTGACGCGTCTCTCTCCTTCACACTGGACTCAGGAGCGTCGCACTGCTTCTTCCGCGACCGCACGACTCTCTCTCCACTACCGGCGCCTGTCCCTATAGCACTGGCTGATCCCTCTTCGGGACCGGTCATTGCGACTCACGCCACTACACTCCCGTGCCCAGCTGCTCCTTCCGGTTCCCTGACTAGCCTCCACATTCCTTCGTTCTCTAGGAACCTGGTTGGTGTGGGCCCCCTGGCGAGACAGCACGTCGGGGTCTGGGTTGAGCCTTCTGGTGACACTTCGGTCTCTGTGGACGGTGACACGTACGCCCCCTTGGCCACTTTTCGCCAGGAGCCGGGCTCCGGTCTGTACACCCTCCACACCGACCCCCGTCAGGTTCCTCCGTCCCACCAGGTAGCCAGGTCCAGTCAGGTTGCTGTGTCCGGTCTAGTTGCTGCGTCGTGCTCGTGTCGGTCGCTTGCCCACCCCTCCCTCCTCTGGCACCACCGCCTTGGTCACCCGTTCCTCCCTCGTCTCCACGCCATGTCCAGTCAGCGTCTTGTCTTAGGCCTCCCCCGAGTCCTCCCGCCACTCCCGCCGTCCCCAGCTCCTCCGTGCGGTCCTTGTGTCCAGGGTCGGCTGCACGCCACCCCTCACTCCTCCTCCCTTCGTCCGGCCACCGAGCCCTTCCAGACACTCCACTTAGACGTCTGGGGCCCCGCTCCCCGCCTTGGCCCTGAGCGGGAGAGTTTCTTTCTGGTGGTCGTTGACGATTACTCTCGGTACACCACCGTGTTCCCTTTGGCGAAGAAGTCCGACGTGACTTCTACGCTGATCCGGTGGCTGCTCGCCACCGAGGGTACTCGAGGTCGTCGTGTCAGTTGTCTCCACTCCGACCGTGGGGGTGAGTTTCGCTCCGGCATTCTCGCCAGATTCTGTGCTGAGCAGGGCATCACCCAGTCCTGGACTCTTCCAGACTCTCCACAGCAGAATGGGGTTGCTGAGCGCCGCTTAGGCCTGCTCATGGACATCGCGCGCACCTCCATGATCCACGCCCGCGCGCCCCATTTTCTGTGGCCCTACGCGGCTCGGTACGCCGCTCACCAGCTGAACCTCTGGCCTCGTGTCTCTCGGCCAGGGGCTTCACCGACCAGTCTTTGGACAGGGTCCCCTGGTGTTGCGTCGAGGTTTAGTGTCTGGGGTCGTCGCTTGGCTCTTGTCCGCGACACCTCTACGGACAAGTTCTCCCCTCGCGCCGTCCCCTGTGTCTTCCTTGGTTTCCCAGAGGACTCCTCTGACTTCACCTTTTACCACCCTCCCTCCCACCGGTTCTTTGACTCTCGTGACGTCCGTTTCGACGAGTCCGTCCCCTACTACGTCCGGTACCCCTGTCGAGGTCTCCCGGTTCCCCCCCCTCCCCTCTTCCTGGCTCCAACTCCTCCTCCTCCCACCCCTGCTCCTCCGGTACCCCCCTTTGTTCCCGCTCCGTCTGGTGTGTCCCACGCTACTCCCCCCCCCTCGGTACCCCCCCAGGTCTCTCCTCCTTCCCCACAGTCGTCCTCACAGCCTCCGCAGCAGCCGTCAGCGCTTCCTTTACCGGCCACTGCGGACTCTGAGGGTGTTGGTGCTCGAGGTGAGGGCTCTGGCGGTGCTCGCTTTGGAGGTGCTGGCGTTGGAGCTGTTCGTGCACCTACAGGAGCCGCCCGTTCTGGGGGTGTTGGCGTTGGCGCTGAGTGTGCACCTGCCGCAGCTACCCATTCCGAGGGTACTGGAGCTGGTGGTGGTGCTGGAGCTGGTGGTGTTTCTGGAGCTGGAGAGTCTGGGGCTGGTGCTGGTGCCACTGGAGGCACCACGACTGGGGGTGCGGGTACACCTCCTACAGGTGCTGGTCGTGCTGCCGCGGATGGTACTCGCTCTGGGGGTGCTCAGCCGGGTACTGTCGAGGACGGAGCCGGTTCTTCTGCTGCGTCTCCTGACACCACTCCTCCTCCTCACCCCTACCCGACTCGTTACCAGGCCCTTCTTCGTCTAGAGCGTGAGGAGCAGCAGCGTTTGGAGCGTGAGAGGTCGGAGGTTCAGCAGCTGGTGGAACGTGAGAGGTTGGAGCTACAGCAGCTGGAGGAGCAGCAGCAGCAGCAGCCGTCGCCGCAGCGGCAGCAGCAGCAGCAGCAGCAGCAGCAGCAGCAGCAGCAGCAGCAGCAGCAGCAGCAGCAGCAGCAGCAGCAGCAGCAGCAGCAGCAGCAGCAGCAGCAGCAGCAGCAGCAGCAGCAGCAGCAGCAGCAGCAGCAGCAGCAGAAGCAGCAGCAGCAGCAGCAGCAGCAGCAGCAGCAGCCGCAGCAGCCGGAGCAGCCAAGCAGCCTCCGGCCCCTGTTTCTGGCATTGGGCCCTTGGTCTCCCCTCCTCTCCTCCTGTGTTTGGTCCTACGTTTCCTCCTCCGGACTCAGCTCCGGCTGTGTTCCCTCGTTCTCAGTCTCCTCCGTCTCCCTCTCCTCTCGCCCACACTTGGACCTCTCGTCCTCCTCGTGCTCGTCCTTCGTCACCTGTCACTGACCTCCGTACCGTGTTGTTTCGTCCTAGTCCTCCTCGTCCTCCTCCGTCTGTTCTTCCTCGTCCTCCTGAGTCGTCCCTCACTGCCTCCCTGTCCACTCCGGTCACTGACTACTACCGCACGTACCGCCCCACTCTCTCTCGTGTTCTCGCCTCTCTTATTACGGACCCTCATGGCTCTCCTTCCTCCGTCGCGGTCCTCACTGCCGCTGTCACTGACTTTACTGCTACGCGTCGCCTTGACTACGCCACTCGTGTTGTGGCCGCTCCTCCTGTCCGTCCTCTGTCCGCCGGGGGTGAGTTTGCCTTTGGCTGTGACGTCCTAGAGGACAGACAGTTTGAGCTAGAGTTCCTGGCAGCTGCTTCACCTCATCTCTGTGCCATGCTCCTCGCTCCTGAGGGAGACCCCGACGCTCCTGACATACCTACTCCTCGCACTTACGTAGAGGCAGTGTCAGGACCTTGGGCCTCTCAGTGGAGAGCTGCCATGGACGCAGAGATGGCCTCCTACAGGTCCACAGGCACTTACGTTGACGAGGTTCCCCCCCCAGGGGCGAACATAGTTGACGGCATGTGGATCTTCAAGGTGAAGCGGCCGCCGGGATCTCCCCCAGTCTTCAAGGCACGCTACGTGGCTAGAGGGTTCAGTCAGCGTGAGGGAGTTGACTTCTTTCAGACCTTCGCGCCCACCCTGAAGATGACCACTCTTCGGGTGTTACTGCACGTAGCAGCGCAGAGAGACTACGAGCTACACTCTCTTGACTTCTCCACTGCCTTCCTCCAGGGCAGCCTACACGAGGAGATCTGGCTGCGTCGTCCTCCGGGCTTCACTGGCACCTTCCCGCCTGGGACCCAGTGGAGCCTCAGACGACCGGTCTACGGTCTCCGCCATGCACCCCGTGAGTGGCACGAGACTCTTCGCTCTACTCTGTCCGACCTCGGGTTTGAGCCGTCATCCGCCAACCCGTCGCTGTTTGTTCGTCGTGGGCGCACACCTTTCTTCGTTCTGGTCTACGTTGACGACTTGGTTTTTGCCACAGCCGACACAGTTGCACTGGCGGAGGTGAAGTCCGAACTGCAGAAGAGACACACCTGCACTGACCTTGGGGAACTGCGCCGTTACCTTGGCCTGCAGATCTCCATGGACAAAGCCGCTCGCACCATCACCCTTACTCAGTCACACATGGTGCAGCAGGTCCTTCAGCGGTTCGGGCTTCAGCACTCTTCTCCTACACCCACCCCTCTTGCTGTAGACCACAGACTCACTGGGCCTTTTCCTGACGAGCCGTTCGAGCCCAGTGGTCCCTACGCAGAGCTGGTGGGCTGCCTCATGTACCTGATGACTTCCATTCGGCCGGATCTCGCCTTCCCTCTTAGCATCCTTTCTCGCTTTGTTGCGACTGGGAGACACCGTCCTGTTCACGGCGGCTAAGAGGGTGGCGAAGTACCTTGCCACGACATCAGACATGGGGCTTGTACTTGGAGGGACACAGCCAGTTGTACTCACCGGTCACTGCGACTCCTCGTACGCCGACGACGTTGAGACTCAGAGGTCTACGCAGGGTTACTGTTTCAGCCTGGGCTCTGGAGCTGTTTCGTGGAGGTCTACTCGGTCCTCCTCTGTTGCGACTTCTACCGCAGAGGCCGAGATCTACGCTGGAGCCCTTGCTACACAGGAGCTATGCTGGTTGACCTTCTTGCTCACTGACCTTGGTGAGCGGCCGAGCTCTGCACCGACCTTGTTTGCTGACAACAAGGCCATGATCCTCCTGTGTCGAGAGCCTCGACTAGAGAGCAGAGTGAAGCACATCGACGTCAGGTACTTCCTCCTTCGAGAGTTGCAGAGACGCGGACAGGCACGTCTGGACTTCGTGGAGTCCGAGGCCAACACTGCAGACATCTTCACCAAGGCTCTTCAGCCTTGTAACCACCGTCAATTTTGTCTGCAGTTAGGCCTCGTTGAGACTGGGTCTAGTAGACTGCAGTAGTGATTTCTTGCCTCTTGTTTGCTTGTATCACATATATATTAGCTTGTACACTCTTGAACTGGCCTTGTGGCCCCTTGTTTGTGCTCAGACTGTGTGGTGACGTTGTGATCCACCCTGAGCTGTGTTTTCTCTCTTGCTTGTGACTGGTCTTGTGACCTTAGGTTGTGTTTTTTGTTGCTTGGCATTCCCCATTTAGGCTATGGGGGTGTGTCAAATGTTAGCCTCTAGTGGGTTGTCAATTTATATGCATGTTTAGTTTAGCTAGGCTATATGGGGGTTAGCACTAGGAGGTACACAATTTTTCTCGACACCCTCCTTGTACCCCCCCCAGGCCTTCAGATTCGTTTTGGGCGACCCTTAGTAATCAGGGTCCTAGGTGTAGTCAACCCTGATGCTCAAGGTAGTTTTTTTGTTTCCCTGACAAATGCAGGGTAAAAAAATTGTAAGTTTGTTTGGTCAGGGTATTTATTACAATATGTATATAAATATGGTCTAAAGGACAAGGTATTGTGTTTGTTGGCTCATTTTATCATTCCAAATTAGATCTGAAAGGTCGCCGGTTCGAGTCTCATTGTCGGGAGAATTTTGCTATAGTGTTTCGTCTCGCTACGGTCTGTTCGGATCAGTGTAGCTGAGCTTGTACACTGTAAAGTCAGAGAAAAAGGTTCGTTACGCTGTTTTTTGAAGGGTATTAAAAATCTTACACTTTCTGGCCTAGGGTAAAAAATCCACTACCCTGCCTGTGAAAGGGTAACTGAAAAAAAGCGGCCGCCAGTCAGTGCAAAAAGGGTATTTTACCCTGATAACGAGAGGCCTGAACACCCCCCCCCCCCCCCCCCCCCCCCCCCCCCCCCCCCTTGACCTAATCAACATCCTAGCTTCTAAGAAACACAACCATCTTACCGGTATGCGTTGTGTAGGACGTGACCGCACAATTCCAAAAGATGCCTGTTGTGTCCAGCCAACCTGACCCCTTGCCTTTTGTCTATACCTACCCCCTACCATTACACAACTCAACTCACCATCTAACCTCATCCTCCCCCCTTCCTTTCTCGCGATCACTGCAGTGCCGACCAAACCAAACTTGCAGTGTCCAGCATTCACATAATGTGCTGCACCGCTGCACACCACATGCAATAAGTAGCATATACAATTGTGCAGCATGCAAATCCACACCATGTATGTACTGTACACCATACAGTGTGCAGCAAACTCTGTACAGCCACCCACTACTTGCGAAAGCCAAAGAGCGAGGCAAGCCAGGAGATGAACTGCAAGAAAAAAGACCCTGCAGAACCAGAGCCACCGCCGCCACCGCCGCCACCGCCACCGCCCCCCACGTTACCACCATCATCACCACCTTCTCCCCCACTGCCAGCAGATGGGGCGGTGGCACATGAGAAGTCCACTGACATGCTTCCCCTGTGATGGAAAACAAGTGGAAGAGAAAGAGGGTGGTGCGATGACGGGGGGGAAGTTGAAACAAGAGTTTGGAGGGGGCTTGACTCCCCGTTGCTGCTGTGGACAGAACGGTAAGCAGTGGCACAGCTGCCAGTCCACAAGTAACAGAGAAACAAAGAACACCACAGGGATGTGAACAGAGGAAGCAGGAGGTAGAGATAAGATGTAGAGGTAGAGATAGGGTTGCTCACTTGGCGTCGCCGTGGAAGGCAAGTGTCTGGGAGTTGGAGTCGGAGCGCGCCCATTTGAGCCGGCTGGCTCCGCTCATCATTTGAGTCGACTAAAAACATGACTCTTTTGAGACTCACAACACGGAGCTCACTTGGCATCGCCGTGGAAGGCAAGGGTGTGGGAGTTGGAGTCGGAGTGTGCCCATATGAGCTGACTGGCGCCACTCATCTTCACGGGAATAGACCCCGTTCCGGCCGTGCGGGAGAACCTGAATGGTTGGTGCATGGCAAAGGAGAGCGGGAGAGAGAGGAAGTGAGGGAGAGAGAGAGGATGCGAGAACGGCTGAGAGGGGCGGCAAAATAGAAAGGCAAAAATGCACACAACACCACACAAGCTTGCTACTCAGTGGATCCATGTGGAAAGGGAACGTAGCTGATGCCACGACCACAAACCAATCGCCCCCCCCCGGCCCCACTCACTGGATCACTGTGGACCCTGATGCTGATGCCACGGTCCCAGCACTGCCGCCAATGCTAAACGAGGCGCCTTGTAACGAGGACATGGCATGGCCAGTGATGTGGTAAGGGCTGACGACCCCTCCGTCCGTGTTGCCAACGACTGCATCGGAGGGAGCCATGCTTCCACTGGTGGACCATCCGAGGGCAAACCAGCCGCTGCTGGCGCCGCTGCTGCTCTTGAGCTCCACTGCCATGTCCAGCTGCGAGGCGGAGGCACGCTTCCAGTGCAGCAGCACGCTAAGGAGGGGGCGAGAAGAAGGGGGAATGAGGAGGGACGGATAGCGAGAATGAGTCACTTGTATTGAGCTCCACAGCCATGTCCAGCTGCGAGGCGGAGGCACGCTTCCAGTGCAGCAGCACGCTAAGGAGGGGGGGAGAAGAAGTGGGCAAAGGGAGAGTAAAAGAAGGAATGAGTTGCTTGTTTTGAGCTCCACTGCCGTGTCCAGCGCGTGGTGGAGGCATGCTCCCAGTGCAGCAGCACGCTGGGAGGGGGAGAGAAGAAGGAGAGAATGAGGAGAAAGGGGGAAAATGGGTGACAGATACCAGGAATGAGTCACTTGTTTTTAGCTCCACTGCCGTGTCCAGCTGCGTGGCAAAGCCGTGCTTCCAGCGCAGCAGCATGCCGGGAAGAGGGGCGGAGGGAGCAGCAGGACGGGGTTGGGGTGCAAATGGTGGGGAGGAAAGGGGGGAAGTGGCTTGAGCTGCACAGCCATGTCCTGCTGCGAGGCGGCGGCATGCTTCCAGTGCAGCAGCACGCTGAGAGGGGGGAAGAAGACGGGGAGCAGGACGGATAGCGAGAATGAGTCACTCATATTGAGCTCCACAGCCATGTCCAGCTGCGAGGCAGAGGCAGGTTTCCAGTGCAGCAGCACACTGGGATGGAACAGAGGAGAGGGAGAGAGGAGCGGGAGGGGGATGAAAACAAGCTGCGGAAGAAGTGACGCATGCAGCAGCAGCAGCAGCGGCAGTGGTGGTTGCAAATGGTTTACAACCGGACTTGACTGCCTCCGCAGGCGCGCATACCCGGATTTGATCTCCGCTTGGTAGGAGTAGCCGCAGAGGGTGGACGCAGGGCATGCCGTGCCGCTCACGCCCGTGTTGTCCGTGCACGTGCCTGCTCCGGTGCCCGAGCCCGAACCTGAGCCTGATCCCGTGCCTGATCCCGAGCCTGATTCCGAGCCTGATCCTGAGCCTGATCCCGAGCCTGATCCCGAGCCTGATCCGGAACCAGCTGTGCCGTCGCAAGAGAAATCGACAGTAGTAATTCCTCTGGATGAGGGGAAACATGCGGGGAGGAGGGGAAGGGAAAAAATGTAATTTTACCATTTGAGAAGAGAGAACGGGGAGAGACTGGGTGGGCTAAAGGTGGTGTACCTAAATCAGAATCAATCAGAAGCCGTAACAGTTAACATTAGAACGAAGAGCTGTCCACGCGATTGAACCGTTCCTGATTAGAATTTGATGAGCCGGAAAGAAGGGGGGTGAGGGGGGAGAGGGGGCAGGGGTTGGGGGCAACTCCCCAGAGAGCATGCGGCGGCACCTGTTGGAGCCGCCATGGTTGGCAACTGTCTGCGAGCCGGTGGGCGAGTGAGCCCACGCGAGGCTGTTGCTCCCCGCCACGTCCACCGCCACAATCCCGTCTCCCGCTGCGCGCGTGAACCTCACGACCGTGCTCCCGCCTTCCGACGCCACGCTCGCACCACTGATGGCAAAGCGCGTCGTGGTAACCGGACCCGAGTAGCTCGCAATGGCGAACGTGTTGACGCCGCTGGCGGGCGAGGCGAGGTTACCGATGACGGCGTCGGAGGTGAACATGCCGCCGCTGGTCCACGCCACTGCGAGCCAGCCGCTCGCCGCGCCGCTCGCTGACGTGGCCTCGAGCGCCAGGTCGATGGTTGACCCCGTTGACGTCTTCCAGTGCAGGATGAGCCTGGAAAAGGGAAACGTGTCCTGAAGATACGGCTAAAAGTAAGGTCACCTGACTGACGTAAAATGCATGGGATGACGATATTCTAGGCACCTTTGCAGCGACCAAAGGGTTGCATAAGGATCCTGGCTAAGAAGGTCGAAGCACTGGTACCCTATTACTTAGGAAAAAAGCTATGAATCCTTTGGGCTGTTATCGGGGATAATCATGAGAGAGTCTCCCGGTCGAGTCGGACTCACCCGCTGCCTGAAAGGTCCACGGAGCTCGTGAACCCCGCGAGACTCGATGCCTCACACGTCGCGGCTGGCGTCGCGGCGGACGCCGCCAGTGGTTTCGCCGCTACGGCTGCTTTTCCGCTAGCTGTAGCAATGGCGGCCCCGCTTGCGGCCCCAGCAGCGCCAGCTGGAAGAATTTTGCCCACGGTCTTCACGCGCCACGGGTGGAATCTGTTGAGCAGGCCTTGGGATTTTCGGGCGAACGGTGTGGACTGAACGCCGCCGGCGCTGCCAGCGAGTAGCGCGGCGATGAGGAGGAGCGTAGTGACGTGGAGTCGCATGATGAGCGTGACGCGCCGCGCCGGTTCGTGCGCTCTCGGAGCTCGGCTGGCTGCGGCCATGGAAACGGAGGCGGCCTGGCGTGCGAGGGAGTCGGTGGAGTCGGTGGAATGCGGTTGGGTGGGGTGGGTTGTGCGGAATAGCTGGGTAGGCGGATGCGCGACATGGATGCGTAGGAGTAGAACTCTTTTTCAATAACCCTGTGAGTGTGGGGGGTGCAATAAGAGGGGGAGGGGAGAAGGGGGGGAGGGACGCCCTATCAGAACCACACGAGATGAGCGAATATGATGCAGGCGGACGGCTGGCTGCAGAATCGTGGGCTTGGGGTATGCTGACTGGGTAATGACGAACTGCCCCGATATTACCGCGCTCGACCCCCTTAACTTTGGGAGGGTGTTACGGGTGCAATACAACGCGATAGTGAGAATCTTACTAAGGTGGCAAACAAGTACAAAGTATGAGTGAAACATACAATCGGTAACGCGGTGCGTGCGAGCTAGCTAGTGCTAGGCTGGCATCGAGGTTCGGGCTAGTCCCGAAGCGTAGGCCGACTCGGCCGGGCCAGCGGTGCATGGTTTGGTGAAACAGTGCGCGCGAAGTTGGCGAAGCCCCGTTTGACGGAACGAGCGAACAACGGCTGCTGCTCTACACGATGTACAGTCGCGGAAAGGAGTGACGAGAAAATTCTTTACAGAGGGGATTTGTTACACGAGGGAGATCATCGCAAATTTTTGAATGCCCAAATTTCTAATCTTTACGTTCCCATCCCAGCACATCATTCCAGAAGTGTGGTGCACTAAAAAACTGAGAGCGTCTCATCACTTGCAAAGCAAACCTTCAGAATTCGTCCTACATGGTGATATTCCTGTACAAGTCCCTCCACACCTCCCATGTCTCCCCGAACCAGTACCGGTCCCTGTTCACACTCAGCATGCCCATCCGCGCCTTGCCCCGCCCCGCCACCCCCAAATTATCAATCAGGACAGACCAAGTGGACCCCATGGTGCCCACAAAGAAGGGCGCATCGGCGCACATGAGGAGGTTCACGTACGCGTTGTCGGTGGCGCGCTGCTCCCCCACGCGCGCGTCGTATGCATCCATGGACTCGCCCAGGGCCTGCCGGGGGAAGTCGGTGACGTGGAAGCGCCAGCGCGTGTACTGCTTGGCCGCGTCTACCACTGCCTGTGTGGGGCGGAGGAGACAGGGGAGGCAGAAGGAGGTTTGAAAGAGGGGTCGACGGGGGTTGCACAGGTAAAAGCTTCCGAGTTCACCTACAAATCGGCATTGGAGAGTGAGTGAGTGCGATAGTTGGAACGTGGAAAGGATTCTTGGAGAGTGCGTTTGTGGGATCGGGTGCTGACCCAAAAGCCAGCTGTAGGACGAATGTGTGGAGTCAAATGCAGCGATTGGGGGAGTGATTGGTGCGCTGCCATGAAAGCATTGAGTCCATAGGAGAGAGGGAAAGAAGTGCATTGAAATAGGGTGGGGTGGGGGTGGCGTTGGGTGGGGCTGGTTATGTGCATATGTGCATCTCTGTACTTACCCATGTGCATATGCTACACACACACATCCACTCTCCCAAACACACACTCACTCACTCACCCACTCTCCCACTCCCCCACTCACACTAACCCACTCACCCACTCACACTTTTTTCTCCCACTCACCCTCACCAACGCACCTGCATCTCAGTGCTGAGCCACACCGAGTCTGCATACGGAAACTGCCGTCTCACCCTTCCCAGCAATGCCGCATACACTTCCAGCCCAGCGATCGCCATCTCGCCCGCCTTGTCCCCCTGCCGAACATGCACCGCCACCAACCCCTCTGGCAAATACCCCCCTGCTCCTCGGTACCCTCCCGCTCCTGGCAGTGCCCCTGTGCTGCCTAGTCCCCCACTTGCTGCTTGCCAGATGTCCTCGATTTTCCCCTCGCTGCCCAGGGCGTTTCGTGAGGTGAATTCGGGCAGCTGCTCGACGGTTTTCGGCCAATCGGCGGGCAGGAAGCGGGCTGCCCGGGCGGCGAGGGCAGGGCCGAAGGCGCGGTGGCGGGCGCGATTGAGGAGCAGGCAAAGACGAGGGGAGGGGTAGCGCATGAGGTAGGTGGCGGCCTGGTGGGGGGGGAGGAAAGGGGTGCATGAAGAAATTATAGAGTGGAGATTAGAGTCACTGCAATGGAGGAACAGGCAGAGATGTGGGGAGGGGTAGTGGTTGAGATAAATGGCGGCTAGGTTGGATGAGGGGAGGAGGAAGGATGGAGGAAGAAGACGGAATGAGAGGAGAGGTGAGAAGAGGAGAGGGGAGGAGAGGAGAGGAGAGGAGAGGATGATAAGAGAGTAGAAGAGTAGGACAGCAGGAGAAGAGAAGCAGAGGCGAGGAGAGGAGATGGGATGCGGAGATTTGGAGAAGGGGGGGAGGGAATACAAAGAACTGGCACTCTGGGCAAGTGGAGGCATGCGGTAAAGGAGGCGATTGAAGTGTGGTGGAAAGGCACACGGCTTTCGCAAGAAAAACGGAGTGGAAGGATAGAGATGGCACGAACAAAAGCAGCACATCCACACGCCAAAATAGGGATGGCGAGCAATCGCTGTGACCACTTGGATAGCTTCACAACATGGGATAACGTGCCCAAGAAAAATCAGTTTCGCACATAGAAAAAACAAAAAGAACAGAAAACCCACCTGAGCGAACCACCAGCGGTGGCGATTGAATGCTGTACATCGGATGAGCCTTCCATGCACGTCCACCGTTGGATGCATGTGTTTCCATGGCCGGCCCCATATGCTGTAGAGTCAAGCAGAAAGATCAACTGCGTGTTTGAAAAGATTGGCTGCCGACACACATGCCATTCCTATTCCTACCTAGCGCTAGTGCATCCAACACACTCCTGCTTAGCTGTGAATGAATGGCATCGGGACCCCAAAAAGACATGCATGGAAAAGTGCAGGAAATGTGCAGCTTTTGTGGACGAAACATGGACGGTTGCATGCATGATGAGTCAGAAGCAGGACGGTGGTGTTGTCAGCTCAGCGGCACACAAGTCACGACACGAGCAGCAAGAGGGGGCTCACGTGGGATAGTGGATGGAGAAGAAGTTGGTGACGTTGCGGTGCAGATACAAATTGTAAGACGTCTCTATTGTTTACACGTCTCAGGTTTACACAACAGTCTGAGGGCGCTCACGTGGGATAGTGGATGGAGAAGAAGTTGGTGACGTTGCGGTGCAGATACAAATTGTAAGACGTCTCTATTGTTTACACGTCTCAGGTTTACACAACAGTCTGAGGGCGCTCACGTGGGATAGTGGATGGAGAAGAAGTTGGTGACGTTGCGGTGCAGATACAAATTGTAAGACGTCTCTATTGTTTACACGTCTCAGGTTTACACAACAGTCTGAGGGGGCTCACGTGGGATAGTGGATGGAGAAGAAGTTGGTGACGTTGCGGTGCAGATACAAATTGTAAGACGTCTCTATTGTTTACACGTCTCAGGTTTACACAACAGTCTGAGGGGGCTCACGTGGGATAGTGGATGGAGAAGAAGTTGGTGACGTTGCGGTGCAGATACAAATTGTAAGACGTCTCTATTGTTTACACGTCTCAGGTTTACACAACAGTCTGAGGGCGCTCACGTGGGATAGTGGATGGAGAAGAAGTTGGTGACATTGCGGTCCAGATACTCCTCCCATACCGTCACCCTCCTGCTGCTCCACTCCTCCCCACTGCTCTCCTCCCCCTACTCTCGCTCCCATTGCTGTCATCCCCTGCATCCCTAGCAGCAGCGCCACCGTCACTACCATTGCTGGGGGAGGCATTGCTGGGGGAGGCATTGCTGGGGGAGGCATTGCTGGGGGAGGCATTGCTGGGGGAGGTGTGGGTGGGGCGGGAGGAGTGCAGCAGGCGCAGGGCCTGCTGGCGGCACTCAGGGGAGGTCTCGGGGACGAAGTAGCACGACCACCGGCCTCGATGCACACCTGTCGACACGCTATTGGGCGATGGGGTTGTGGGGAGAAGGCGGGGTGCAAGGATGGGGGGCAAAGCACATTGAGAGTGTGAGGGAGGGAGCCACATGGGGGGTTAAAGAGAGGGAAAAATTACCTCTTATAATGTCGCAAGAAGCAATTGCACTGCCGAATTTGTGATACTGGTACCCTCCCTTCACTACTATCACCCTCCTTCACTACTATCACCCTCCTTCACTACTATCACCCTCCTTCACCATCATCACCCTCCTTCACCATCATCACCCTCCATCATTATCACCCTCCTTCAGTACTATCGCCCTCCCTTCACTATTATCACCCTGCTTTCATTATTGTCACAGTCCGGAACACCTCTCTGCCTCTCTCGCATGCGATACACCAGGCCATCAGCTCCCTCTCTTCCACCATACATCCCTTCCACCACTCTCACCCTCCCTACACCATTGTGAGCCACCCACCCACCATGGCACCCATCATGTGCCACCAGCACGCCCCATCCACCATCCCTCCCTCCCTCCCACCACTCTCTCCCTACCTTCTACCACTGTGCGTCAACCACCCACCCACCCACCCACCCACCCACCCACCCACCCACCCACCATGGCACCCATCGCCTGCAACCGGGTGATGATGCCGCACCACCAGCATGCGCCCCTCCAGCACCTCTCACTTCTTGCCATGAAAATTCTTGAGCGTTGTATTCGTTCCACACAGTAAATCACCCACTATCACACCCAGCACGCCCGCCAGCCAGTTCACCTGCGCGCCCGCCCACGCACCCACCCACCCGCCCACCCGCCCACCATTGCACCCACCATGGCACCCATCATGTGCCGCCCTATGGTAGTGTCTGACCACGAGCACGCGCCCCTCCACCACAGCCGTGCCCAGCACGCCCGCCAGCCAGTTCACCTGCGCGCCCGCCCACACCCAGGAAGCGGCCGCGGACGCTGTAAGTAGCAAACAGGTGGGCTGCGGAGGTCTTATTTCCATCAACTCAAATGGTTCTAGGACGACGAAGCAAACTCCATGGAATGAAAGAATGAAGAGCCTGGTCGACTTGTGTGCTAGACCGTTTTAGAGAGCGCTCAATCTGACGTGCTAAATGGTTGAAACGGAACGCCAGCTTCCCCGCCCGCCCACCAACCAGTTCACCTGCGCGCCCACGCCCAGGAAGCGCCCGCGGACCGTCCTCAGCACGTCCACCACCAGGAACTTGACTGAGGGATGCGAGCAGTTCCGCGGGTGCTGCAGCAGCCAGATGTCCCTCTGAGCTCGCCGCGTCATGGGCAGGTTGTCCTCATCTGCGCCTGATACCTGGGGTATGCAGGGGGTGGGGCGATTTTTGACCGTCCTCAGCACGTCCACCACCAGGAACCTGACAGAGGGATGCGCGCAGTCCCGCGGGTGCTGGTGCACCCAGATGTCCCTCTGCGCTCTCCGGGTCATGGGGAGGTTGTCTTCATCGCCTCCTGACACCTGGGGAGTGGAGGGGTAGAGGGAGTGCTTTTTTGATTTGAGGCGCCTCAAAGAGCGTCCACGACCAGGAAGCACCCGCGGACCGTCCTCAGCACGTCCACCACCAGGAACTTCACAGCCGGGTGCAAGCAGTCGCGCGGGTGCTGCAGTAGCCACATGTCCCTCTGGGCGCGTCGGGTCATGGGCAGGTTGTCCTCATCTGCTGCTGACACCTGAGAGGTACAAGGGTTGGGTTTGCTTTACAGTCGACTCAGAAGCGCCCGCGGGCCGTCGTGAGCACGTCCAGCACCAGGAACTTGACAGACGCGTGTGCGCAGTGCAGTCCCGTGGGTGCTGCAGAAACCACATGTCCCTCTGGGCTCGCCGCGTCATGGGGAGGTTGCCCGCTCCTGATACCTGGGGGAAACAGGGGATACAGGAGGTGGAGCGTGCACAGCAGTGGGAGAGAGATCGAGCTGCTGCAGTCTCGCGGGAGCTGGTGCACCCACATGTCCCTCTGGGCTCGCCGCGACATGGGAAGATTCTCCTCGTCTGCTCCTGATACCTGAGAGGAGGGTGTAGAGCGTGCATAGGAAAGGGTGAGGAATCGAGCTCCTGTAGTCCTGAGGGTGCTGTCCCTCTGCTCTCCCCCTGCACCCAGAAGTCCCTCTGACGCCATGGAGTTCCTCGTCATGGAGAGACTGTCCTCATCCGCTCCTGACGCCTGGGAGGGGTAGGGGGATAGAGTGGGAGTGGGAATGGGGCGTCGCAGAGGGAGAGGATTCCAGCTGCTGCTGCCCGTGGGGGTTGCTGTGCTGCTGCACCCACATGTCTCTCTGGGCTCGCTGCGTCATTGGAAAATTGTCCTCATCCGAGCCTGATACCTGGGGTGGTGTTACAGGACAGGGGGCGGGGAGTGGATAGCAGAGGGTGAGGAATCGAGCTGCTGCAGTTCCGGGGGACACTGGTGCACCCACATGTCCCTCTGGGCCTGCCGGGTCATGGGGAGACTGTCCTCGTACGTGGGGAGGGGAGTACAGGGCGAGTACAGGGGGTGGGTCGTGCATGACGGAGGGGGGTTAACCTCGTCGGCTCTCCTTGCTTGCGTTGCTGAGCCTGAGCTTGTGCAGCCACTATGCTCTGAGAATGGCGAAGCGATCGCTCTCTTCTCATGCACAAGCAACAAGCACTCCTGCGCTCTCAATCGACCTTGCTGTAACTGATGACTGACTGAGATATACTTTCCGTTGACCAGAATCGGCTACACAAAAGGCATCTTCTTCAGCTGCGCAGATTAAAGCCGCTACACACAAGCGACCTAAGAGCACGCACTCAGTGAGGGGGGGTACAGCTAACTGTGAGTCGCTTTGAGCACTCTCAAAAGAGTCCTGAACTGCCCGCGCTCACCCAGGGGGGGTATGGTTAAGGACAGACCCTCTGTGGTCCCTCATAAGCTGCTCATCCAGTCTAGAGCTGTGTCAGAACTTAAAGCCCTGATAGCCAGCACTCACCCAGGGGGGTACGGCCCCAGGACAGCCCCCCTACGGTCGCCCAGGAGCTGCTCATCCCGTGCTGCCGCCATCCACGCAGCCACCTCTGCCTGCTCCTCGCTGGCCCCTTGCCTCTCCTGCATCCTCTCCTGTGCCTGTAACCGCATCGCCTCGTGCTGCAGTGCCCGCGCCCGCTCCTCCGCCTCAAACTGCCTCTCCTCCTCTGCCGCAGCTGAGGCACCTTCCGCCTTCCTCCTCTTCCTCTTCCTCTTCCTCTTCCTCTCCCTTTACTTCTCCCCTCCGCTCCCCGCCTCCCGCTTCCTCTGTTTCCTTGTCTGCACGCCCCTCTCGTTCCGTTTCTCTCTCCCTCCTCACCTTCTCCCTCTCCCGCTCCTCCAACCGCCGCGCCACCAGTCCCAACCTGCCACCCCAAAGCGACCAATCCGGAAGCTCCCCGTCAGCAGACCGCGAATCCAGAAGGCTGCAGAGGGAAGTTTGAGGAGAAGTGAGAATGGAGCAAGCTTTAGTTCTGCAGTTGTGAGGCGGCTGAAAAATAAGTGTGTGAGAGAGAGAGAAGCACTACTGGCGGGTTTCTTCCCACTGGCGGTGGAGACCTACGGGTGCTCTTGCGAAAAGGTCCCTGCCTTCCTCAAGTTGCTGGCTGACTCGGCAGCCAGGAACCTCTTCAACGCAGACCCTACCTCCTACCAAGCAGCGAAATGCTGCATCAATACCGGCAGCGATGGTCCGTCGCCCTGCAGATGGGACAAGCGCTCAGCTACCTTAAGAAGCTGAACCTGGCGGCGCAAGCAGAGAACCCGCCAGTAGGAGGGCCAGAGGGGGTGCTGAACCCAAGGGACAGCTTTGCAACCCTGTACCTCACTACCTACATCAATGAAAGGACCGTTCGAGAGAAGCAAGGTGAAGCAAGGGGAGGCAGAGAGAGAAGCAAGGTGAAGCAAGGCGAGGTGAGGAGGCATGGCATGGCACAATTTGCTGAGCATAGTGCCTTCCAAGCCCTTGGAAAACAAGAAACGCAAAGGAGGAGAAAAAGGCGGCAGGTGGGGAATGACAGCTCTCCCCAAGCATGTCATCAACCCATGTGCACACCCATGGATACATGCACATTCACACACCCACTCGCATATGATCACATGCGTCCATGCACACAACAACGGACCTGACATCAGCAGCGAGAGAGGCACAGTGGTCCACATGGGGTGCTGCCGGCACCACCCGCTGCTCCTCCTCCTTACTCAACCACGCCTCCTCCCCTGCCCCTCCCACACTCCCTCCTGCCCCACCTAAAGCACCCGCTTGTCTCTTCGCTTGCTGCACTCCCTCTTTCATCTCCTTACCATCCCCCTCCTTCCCTTCTGCTGTCCCCTTTTCCCCCACATTTTCTCCCCCCTGTGCCCCCACAGCACGCCTGAGCAGTGTAAGGTAGCGCTGCACAGCGGCGCTGCGCACATCTCTGAGCCCCAGCGAGGGGCCGGCCTCCCACAACGCCATCAGTGCACGCGCGCTCTCACCCATGCCACCACCCCTCCCATCATCCTCCTCACCGTCACTCCCCTCTTCACCTTCACTGCCTGTCCTGGCCCCATACACATCATCCACGCCATCCTCACTCATGCCATCCGCCCTTTCCTCCTCCTCCACCCCCTTGCTCTGCCTGCCATCCTCTCCCAATCGCTCACCCCTACTCCTGCTGTCGCTCCTTCTCTCATCCTGCCTCGTCCCGCTGCTGCCTGTGCTTCTGCGCCCTCCCTCCTCTTCCTCACTGCTTTTTGTCACCATTCTCCTGTCCAATGCTTCAGGGTTATTTACAAGAACGCCTGAAAGGTGCTTCAGGTGCTTCCTCAGGTGTTTCTTCAGGTGCAAACTGCCACCCTTGTCACGCGCAGCCAGCTGTGCCTTCAGGTGGGTGACGTCATGCCGGAGCATCTGATTGGTCCACCGCAGCGCGCTCTGATTGGCCTGACAATGCTCCTCCTTCCACTGTTCAATCACATGCATACATTCACATGAGCGCACGAACATATAAGCACCTTAGTTTACACACACACAGATGCGCAAAAGATGTGACAACATCACATCACAGAGGGATGCAAAAAGAGGATGAGCGGTTGTCTGTCTGAATCCGCCTGGAATCAAGAACAGGGAGGCCATGCCCGCAGTCAACTCCAGACCTTCACGGTTCACCCACTCTATAGTGACTACTACAGCACTGCGCATTCCCCATCCTTTCCCCCCCATTCCGTTCAAAGCCAACAGCCGGTGTGGCTGCTGCAGGCTCCCTGCTCACTGTGCACTGCACCCGTTCCACCCACGCCCCTCTCCACCCCTCTCAACCGTTCCTTAGCACTCTAAACCACAGGCTTAACAGTGTGTGCCTGCACGCATGCCACTGCCCTCGTGTGCCCACTAACTATTGCTCACCAGGCAGGCAGAACGACAGTTCACGCCGTATACAGACCAATCATGCCTGCTGTCTGCTCACTGCCTTCATCCCCAACCCGTTGCTGCCTATATGATATATCTGTTGCTGCCACCCCCCATCCCACTGCCCAATTCCCACTGCCTCCCCCTTGCACTCACCAGCCCCTTGCACTCACCAGCCCCTTGCACTCACCAGTGCGAGGCGGAACGACGCCTCGAGGCTCTTCATGCCGGCTGCCAGCTCCTGCAGCATGTCTCCCGCTTCCCCATCTCCTCCCTCGCCCCCTTCCCCCCCTCCCCCGGCCAGTTTCATCAGCTCCTGCTGTTGCTGGCACGCCATCAACGCACTCTCGCAGTCACTCTTCGAACCCCCAACCGAGCCTGAACTCGCAGCTTCGGAATCGTCAGATTTTGGTTCGGCGGGCAACTCTGGTGCCCCTGTGACAGTGCTGCTTGCACCTGTGCTGGAAACTCCTCCTCTGGTCGCTTCAGGGCCTTGCACCATCAGGGACTTATAAGAGTGTGCCTCAGAAGCACTCGCACCATCCTGCGTTGCTTCATGAATATCACCATCATGCGCTCTTTGAGCTGACCCGGTGGAGATCACAGGATCCGTCGCTGAGCTGGCGCTTTCTGATTGGGTTTGCATGGAATCAACGGTGTGCTGCTGCTGCGTGGCTTGGAACAGGAGGGCTGAATGGGCCAATGAGAGGGCTGTATGCTGCCGCACCAGCTGCGAATAATTCGCCTGATTTGTGAAAACGGGAGGAAAACATGGAACGGAGGGGAATGCGTGAGACGGAATAGAGCAGCAGCGAGCTCGCGAGACGTGTGACCTCTTGAATGCCTGTATAACGGCTACGTGTGTTGGTGTTGAGTAACGGCAGGTGGGTGAAGTGAATGATCCACACGGATGAAGATTGACGAACGAGCGCGCCATGCTCTGCTGTGCAACACGACGGGCAATGTTACGACGATCCGCGAGAAACGGACAAGTTTCAGAAACCGCGCAGAATGTTGCTAAGAGACCAAGACGCCTAAAAACTGTTGAGTCGAACCAAGGTGACTCTTGAGTCGACTCGAAAGACATACAGATTGTTGCTAAAAGACCAAGACCTTCACAAACTCAAGGTTGCAAGACATGATCGCAAGTTTCTTCTGAGGCGTCTCAAAACAGCAGCAACTCTCGGACCTGGAGGTCGGTCATCGCTCTTTGCAATTCCTGGAACCTTCTCCGAAGCTCCACACATCCCAGCTCTCCCAGCAGCTGCGCATTTCCGTAAATATCGCCGCGATCCCCGCCAGAATTGGAGCGAACTGTGAGCCGGTCATTTCCTGGCCCCGAATCGCTCAGCAAATCGACGGCTCTGTGCGAAGGCGGCTCGGTTCTAACAGGCTCGGATTGCCGAGCCTCAAACGGCTCCTCAAGTTCGAGACGCTCGGGTGAACGAGAATCGATAGGTTGCTGCTGCTGGTGAGAAATAAAAGGCGAGCGGAAGAAGCGGCGAAGGTCGCGGCGAGCGAGTGCGGGAAGATGGAGAGGAGGCAGGCGGAAGGTGAGGAAGGGGAGGGTGACGGAGACGGAAATTAGCAGCAGTGCGAGGGAGAGGAGGACGGGACGAAATCGAGGCATGACGGGGACGAGGGAAGCAAAAGAGATACGCGACCCGCTGTGCGTACTTCTACTACCAGGATTCCATTCCTAGCCAGGTCACTAGGTTGGCCCAAGTCAAATGCTTCATAGCCTCTGGTGTCGTCCGTGCCATTCGGCCCCCGGAAGGCTATTGCGTGGCCGAAACTGGCGAACGCGGCAAAATTTTAATGGAGGTCGCGACTCTGTTACTGTCGAAGCGGCCATGTGGCATAATTGGAAGACCTAGCGATTTTCCGCGCCCTGGCGCGTGCTGGAAATTGTTGAAGTTCGAACTTTAACTGCTTTGCACCGTGGTCAAACGTCTCTCAAATGCATTTTACCGTGTAAAACCTCTCAAAGGTCGAACTTGGGAAAATGTTCGACCCCGATACACACGCCCATAGGGCGTGGAACATTTTTACGAACACGTCGAATGGTCGAATTGATGGTTGCTTCTGGCGATTGCGAAGGATTTAGGGAAACCCCATCGTGTGACATGCCCAGTATTCTCCCTCACTCGACCGAATTTCAATGGTATTTCCCCGTAGGATTTTTTTCGCCTACCTACACTGTCCAGAGAAGTGGGACAACGTTTAACTTCAATTGTTCCACCGAAAGTGTTTTACAGCCCCGCTCAACTTGGAAAACATACAACTTTCCGCCCCCTGAGGTTCCACACCCCATTCGAATGCTTAAACTAGGATCAGATGTTTTTTCTTAGTTTGTGTAAGGAAAATTCCTTTTCCTTACTTCGCGTCCCTGCTCAGCGCGTACAGCACTGTTCCCGCCAACAGCACCCAACAGTAATCCGTTACCACTCGCGACACTCGCCTCGGTACTGTTCCCGCCACTGTTCACGACGCGACCCAACCTCACGGCTCGGTTGGTAACCCGCGCTCCGGACCTTCGCCTCGACAATTCCCAACCACGGCGCTAGGCCCGTCGCGCACCCCATTTTCACACATTACCGTTACCACTGTAGTTTCGCTATATAATCCTTCGCTCATGCCTTCGCTCATTGTACTCTTGCTTCGATAGTGCAATCTTCGTTCGCTCCCTCAATTGCACTCGTAACACTTGGTATCAGAGCCTACGATCTCTTCTCGGACCGCACCCACACCTTCGCTTCCCCACTATCTCAATTTTTGGGGGGGGTAGACGTCTCTCAGCGACACAGCACCGCCGTTCGTAGTGCTCTCTCGTAAGCACGCACGGCCACGACAGAGGCTCTCGCTGAGCTCGCCCGACACCCCCGCCATGGCCGAATTCAATCTCGCGACTCTGACGCAGGAGCAGCTCGACCGCCTGGTGCGCCAAGTTGAAGAATCGGCGCTCGAAATCGCGACGCTCACGGCGGAACGCGACTCCGCGCGTCAGCACGCCACGGCGAGCAACCCAGCACCGCAAAATGTACCTGCACCGTCGGAGGAGCCAATCGTCATTTCGTCTGGCACACCAACACAGCACGACAGCGTGGGACAGCGCTCAGGACCAATGATAGCGCCGCCCAACCAATGCCTGGCATGGGGAGAAACCGGGCCGCGCCAAGCTCTCAGGAGCCTCGCGAAGCCCGTCGACACGTGGAATTTGCGGCAACAAGCGCCGATCAGGCAATCATGGCGCCAATGCCACTCAAGCCGCAGCGTCCGCCCTGTTTCGACCCGAGCCAGCGTGGGGGTCCGACGGTTCAATCGTGGATCTTCACGATGAACGTCTTCTTCGACGCGAATTACGTCGAGTCGGACGCAGCGAAGATCCGATACGCCGTTTCGCTGCTGAGGGGCCCCGCTATGGACTGGTGGCGAGTCATCGTGACGTCGCCACGCGCCTACGAGCCACCGTCGCAAGAGGAAGGGCCCGCGGGTCCAGCAGTCACCTGGAGTTCGTTCTGCGAAACCGCCCAGTACAGCACGTGGGATGCGTGGTGCGTAGGGCTTCGGGCGCGCTTCGAGCCGATCGCGGCTTCTATTTCGGCGCGTCAGAAACTGCGCACTTGGCGGCAGCTCGGATCGGTCCAAGACTATACGAGCGGTTTTCTCGCATTATGCGAGCAGGTCGGCTACATGCACGAAGCGGAGCGGGTGGACCGTTACGTCGGAGGGCTGAAGCCGGAAATCTCGCAGGAAATCATGCTACGCGGGCTCTCGAACTTCAACGAGATTCTCGCGCTCGCCGAGAAAATCGACATTTTGCGCCGACCGAGACCGGGGTCCTACTACAGGCATCGTCCTCGGGGACCGATCGAGCACGCCACCGTACACGCCGTTGCGACGAATGCAGCTGCCGCGCCGTTTAAGGGGCGCTGCTTTGCTTGCAACAGGCCGGGCCATCGCAAGAGTGAGTGCCCAGAGGAGCTGAGGCGCCGCGGAGCAGAGCAGGGGAGGGAGTCTCAGAGACAGGGAAACGCCAGCAGTCAGTAGAAATTGGGCCAACTACTGACGAGACTGCCTGCTCGCCCAACCGCACCGACCCTCACCGAGTCACAGTACCGATTCACGCCATCGATCGGGCTCGGATGAATAAGGAGGGTACAGCGACGGATTGCCCAATACTGATCTACGGGAAAATACAGGGAGCAGCAGTGAAGATTTTTATCGACGGAGGAGCAAGCCATAGCTTAGTGAATGCTGCAACCGCACGGAAACTGCAACTGACACTCAGCCGGTGCTTACCTGAGGTAGACGCACGCTTAGTCGACGGCACGCCGCTGGCCATACGGGAAAAGGTGGAGAGGGTAAAAGTTCGCTGCGGGGGGAACTTCGGGTTTACACAGGAAATGCTCGCGACGACACTGGATGGGCACGATATTTTACTAGGACGTGATTGGCTGCGACGGTATAACCCGCGAATCGACTGGACGACAGGCAGCTGC